GAAAAAGGGAAAAGTCTGTCACTACTCAGTTTTGTCAAGTTTTTGATAAAGCTACTTGAAGAGACTAAGGGATGTTGCCAGTGCCAGGAAATGTTCAGCGGGTGCCAGGATAACACAGCCCGCCTCGGCAGCGTGGTGGGTGTGAGGCGGTGGGGTTGGACGAGCAGAGCCCGGGAAGCTCTGGCCGTCTCGATTGCTGGGGATTGCTGCCTGGGTTGTGGGGCTGAGGGAGACCCCAGATTGCCTTGATCTGCCCCAGGAGAAACCACAATGGACTGGGCAGAGAATTCAGGCCAGCAGTTTCCACCACCTCTCCTCTCTACCTGCAGGTTTGCTGGAGGATGGCAGGACACCTGGCTGCTCTCCTGATGGACCTCAGAGGTGCCTCATGACTCAGCCTCATTCTGAAAGCACTTCAACAGTTTGTTGGCTTGTCCTTACTCTTCAGCAGTATAAAATGCATTTCCCTCTTTCCTAGATTTTCTGTGGCTGGCAGACCTTTGGTTCATTCTGCAAGCCCAGCTTGAAGTGATTTTATATTCAACTCTGATTTGGCAGTGTTACTGGCTGGATGAAGCTGCTTGTAATGTTACTTCCAGGACTGTGCTAAATGAATGCTGAAAAGTTAATTCATTTACCTGGAATTCGAATTGCTGACTTTCACTGCTCCGTGGTACTTGTAGAGTAAGAATGTTGTATTTAAATGTTAGCAGAAATGTTTAAATGCTGCTGTGGGTAACGGGCCTAGTTCAAAACTACATTTCCTGATGGCGATTGGCAAGGATTTTTTTTTTCTTTCTGAGAACTGTGTTATCTTTATCAGGCTGTAAAACTCTGCTGTAGCTAACCAAGTGATAGTGAAGGTCAGGACGCTTACCTCGATTCCTGATTGAGGCTGTGCAGGGATGGCTTTGGTGAGACCAGTGTAGGAAGAGAGGATCTCTTGGGAGAATAAACTCCCTCCCTTCTTTTTGTAGAGAAGAGGGTGTTTCAGACAAGCCAGTCCAATAATACATTTTGCTTTAATGAAGTAAAGCAAATTTGTAGTCTTCTCTCTCCTTCTGTCTTCCTGCTCATTTCATTTTATTCTGCCTAGTCAACAAGTTAGCTTTATGAAGTGTATCTTCCTGTCTTTGCTGTATAAATGCCTGGCCACCTTTGCATCGTTCTTCCTCAAAGCTCCAAATTTCTTTATTCACCGAATCAGAGTAAGGCTGGGGCCAGCAGGGGCCTCTGGAGACCATCTGGTCCAACACTCCTACTCCAGCAGGACCAGCTGGAGCAGGTTGCTCAAGGCTGTGTCCAGGCGGGTTTTGAATATCTCTGTGGATGGAGAGTCCACAACCTCTCTGAGCAACCTGTTCCTGGGTTTGATCACCCTCGTTAGCATAGGATTTCCTCGTGTTCAGATGGAATCACCCGTTTCCGTTTGTGCTTGTTGTGCCTCTTATCCTCTCACCGGGCACCACTGGGAAGAGCCTGGCCCTGATGTCTTTACGCTCTCCCATCAGATATTTATACAAATTAATAAGATCCCCCTTGAGCCCTCTCTTCTCCAGGCTAAACAGTCCCAGCCCTCTCCGTGTCTCTTCATATTCCCCATTGCTCGTGAATGACCCCATCGTGGTTTCTTCCTCTCTCGCTTAGCCTGTGCATTTTCTAATATCTGGAATTCTCCCTGGAATACTGGCAGGCCCCCCTGGCTGTGCTGTACGGTGCTGTCATCAGCTCCGGCTCTCGGATTTCATTGCATTGGAGGCTTTTCAGGATGTGTTAGTTATCTATTGATGCCAGCAGCTGAAATCATGGAGATTTTAGTTAACTGAGTAGTATAGGATCAGACTCTTATTTTGCAGATGATTGACCTAAAAGATATCTTGAAATGGGTCCTTTGAGCTCTGAAGTTTATTTTTGTTTCTGTGCAGCTGGTGTACATGTGTTTCTTTAAGACCACATGTTAAACTTCTTATGAAACATTAGAAAATGCACTGTACACATTATATAGCTGCTTAATACATATCAGTATCTTTTTTGTTGCTTATAAGGGTGTATTTATTATTTTAGTTAATCTGTCATAATAGACTATCCTATATTTATTTTTTTCTTCCAGTGACTGACTTCCAGTGAAAGTCAGTCAAGTAACCCCAAAAGAAGATTCACCAGACTGCACTCTCTATTGTTGCAAAGTTTAGAACAACGAGCTTGTGTGTTGAGGAATTTGCTTTGCTTTGCTTTTCCAGAAGGCTGGAAGTAGCAGTTGAAATTCCGAATGCACTATAGCTGACAGCAGATTTCTTGGAGGTCAGTGGGACCAAAATTTCTTCCTGCACCCTGGTCTGCATTACATGCTAATCATCAGTGTTTCCTGAGTGCAGCGCACTGGAAAAGCATTTATATTGAAAACTTTGATGGCCTCTGTACTACAAGCAACTGTCTAATTGCAGGTCATAAAGACTGAAATCTTAAAAGGAATTTATTGTAGAAGTTGGTGAGTTTATGGTATAAACAGTTACTAGCAAAGACTCGTGACACAGACCTAAGCAGTGTAGACATAAATACCTGGATATTTAAGAGTGCAGCCATTACTTTTACCATAATCACCTTCAGGTAAGATTTTGTCTGAAACTACAGTATGGTGAAATAGTTCTATGCAATTTCTACTGTATTTGTAAAAAAGGAAATTTTTGTGTGCACTGCAAAAAGTCTGAAGTGAGATTTGCACTATTTTTGAAACTGTTCATTAACAACTTTTGAAAGTTCTTTTTAACAACCTCTCCTACGAGACTAACCAGTCAATTTTGACATCTCTGAGATAAGGCATCTGAGACATGTAGAGGTCTTACCCTGGAAAAGGTATTTCTTTAGGTGCAGAGCTGTATAGGCAGGTAATGCTGTGCTAAGCACTCCATGATCTTCACCAAGTCGCCCTCAGAGCTCTAAAACTGAGCAGACTGAAGTTTCCTAATGTCCTTAAGAGAAGTGTGTTAAAAATTATAATGGTAAATAGTTAGTTCTGTTTTGTATATAGGATGAACCTCTTCATTTTGCAAGTGCAAGTCAGTGTAGTGTTCCTTCCACAAATGTAGTCATTTGGATTACTCCTCTCATAATGCCATTCAGGTACTTTAATTTAGCTTATAAAAAAAAAAAGAGGCAGGAAAAATTAATATGAGCTCTCTTCTTTGCCAGACCTGAACTGAATGGATGACCAGTCTTGTGCATTAAAGTTTCTTGATATAAAATCTAACCCAGATCTTGCAGAAAGGCTGTTTTGGGAGAAATCAGGTTTGGGATAAATGACATCAAGACTTGTCTTTCATTAATTAAGCAGCTTGATTGCTGTTGCTCTAATGTATTGCACACCGACTTAACCATCAATGCTTGAAAGGCTCCCCATAGCACTGTTGCCTTTTGCTTCACTGCTTTTTAAGATAACATTTGTGATGGAGCTCAGGCAGTCACAAACTCCTTAAGCCACAAGGCCTTGAGACAAGGGACACTCTCTGTCTTCCCAGTAAATGCCAACCTCTCGCGTAGCTGCTGGAATCGACTTCCAGTCAACTTGCCAAGGGCCCGAGTTGCCAGTTAACCTTGGCTTCTCCAGAGGCCCCTTGTTGGCTTCCTGGCCACTAGCTACACTTTTCTTAGTTTGAGACTACGTGTCATCTGCTTTGGTACAGCAGTGCATATGCACAGAAAAATATATATATAGTTGTGCGTTTATAAAGATATTATTGCGTTTCTTCAAACCGTAGAAATACTGTATGTGGCATTTTTAATACTTTATAAAATTAGCAAAAAATTGCAGGAACATTAAATTTTAAAAATGTAAGACTTAAGTATAGTAATAATGTTGCAAGGTTGACATAGTTGTCCTAAAATCATGAGTTATAAACTATTATAAACCTTAAATTCAAAGTTATGGTCACCCTTCAAAGTTATCTAACATACAAGTATAAGCAGCCTTAACTCTAACCCTTAGAAATGGTATAAAATGAGAAGGGGGAAAAAGTCCTTAAAAATAAGTTTAAATTCAACTGGGATCACAAGTGCTTTAAATGCAATCAAAAACACATCATGGAGTAACACTAGGACTGAGTTACAGTTGTTTGAATGCTCAACTGTGCATGCATTACTTAGTGCATCTGGATTTCTTTTAAGAATAACCTTAACTCTGATTTGTTTCTACTGTCGATCTGTTCTCTTTTGCCAAGTTTGTAATGTGTCTATTAACAAAACATACTAGAATCTCAGACAGGGAGCGTGGAGCTTTAGTACAAAGTCAGGGTTGGAAGGAAAGTCATTCCAGTTTCTTTTTGTAATTTGTAAGGGAAATATTACAGCTGTGTGGCCATATTTGCAGCTCACAGAAGCTTCTGCCATTTATTCGGGTCCCAAGGTAGCAATGTACATGCCAACTATCTCAGTCAAATGGATGAAAAACATGTAGGATATACTAACTGGTTTCCCAGAATTTCACTATTTTTTTCTTCGGTTACCTTTAAATTGCATAGACCTTTTTAATCTTTGAAGAATAGATAGAAGAAATCAGCAAGCACAGAGTAGAGTTTGGATAGTGCAGACTGTGCATGAGGCTTTCACCAAACAGGGGAACATTCTCAGATTTAGCCTGCAGGCTTATTTTACAAAAGAGATTGAATTTCTAGAAAATCTCTTCCATGAGAACTCTACAAAAACTGCTCAGTGCAATCAAATAAAAGATTTTCATTTGGGAAAGAAAGAAAACCCACACAAAACCCCAAACTATTTTATTGGGTGTACTTTACATCCCCTGTGTAAACTGATCTGGTTCTGATCATGTTCATGAAATGTGAGGTCTGATTGCAACAGTTCTTGACCCAGACACAAACAAACAGAGCTTCTTGCTTTAATTTAATTTTCTTCTATACTTGGAGCACCACCTTCACCAGGGAATATAACTCCCAGCTTGTTGCAAACGTGGAAAAGTGAAACGGCATGACTGCAGAGCCGTCGCCGGCATGGACCGCGCCGAGCGCGCAGCCGCTTTTGGCCTCACTGCCTCGAATCCACATGAACCAACACCAGCAGTTAGTTCCTTAGTGTCACTCTCAGGCTTACTGACTGAAAGTGTGTCTAGGGTATCTCTTAAAATAAACCGAAGATTTTTTGAAATCATATTCTTGCAGAGATAAAATGAGAAATTCTTGCAGTTGATTGGATACAAGAACTGGTCTAATAATTCCCTCATGTAAGAAAGGAAACAAACAGTATCTGAAGAGAGAGAACTATTGTTCTTCTGTGTCTGGCAGCATGAATTTATAGTGGAATAAGATAATCTGGACGTATTCCTGGTGCTATGCCATGTTGTGGGAGGGTCTTTCTCCTCTTATTTCTATGAGAGCAAATAGTGTCCCTAAGGACAATCCAAGCAGTCATCACATATCTTAGCTGCTCCAGACTTGGCCCTTATGTAATGATTAAAACCAGAAATTGTTGATACCACCATTTTCTTCCTTCGTCTGTTTCTCATTTGGTCTTTGTGTTTGGTTCCCTAAGTGTGATCCTCAGACTTCTTTCGAGCATGGGCATTGGCTTATAAAAGCCCAAACTTTTTTTTTTTTTCTGGAGTTTATATTGCCTTTTATACCTGGCGATTTGAAAATCTGGCATCTACCAAGAGACACAGGACAAATGTCATTTTTGGCACCGAGCCCTGTTTCTAGTTCCTCAGTCCTTTCTGGACACGGAGATAGCAGACCCAGGCGATGAAGGCCTTTTGCGGCTTCTCTCCAGACAAACTCCTTTATTCCATACAGTTGCTTCTCCTCCTTACACGTTGTCCTCCTCTGAAATGAACCTTAAGAGTCTCTTCTGCTGCTGCTTTCTCACAGAGAACTTTTTTTTAAAAATCTTCCATGTTTAAGCCATTGGTTCCCCAGCAGAGCTTACACACCGTTCGCCACACACACAACCCAAACATAGCTGTTCCATAGGAATGGGTGTCATTGATGGTTACTCTAGCAACTGCATAATGTAAAATACCACCCAAGCTTTCCTCTCGGGTGTGGATTACTTTTTTTTCCAGGAGTGGCCAGTCTGTACCTGAGATGCTCTTTGCCAAAGTACCTTTCTCTTCATTTTTTTCAGTATTAGTTTTTAGCAGGAAGAATGTAAATCAAGGAAAGCTTGGGGTCAGGTGTTTCTGGAGGTCAGTGCTTAAATTTAAGACAAGCTGCAAGCTCTAAATGAGTACTCTGTGTTGTGCTCCCTTTTTCAGTTGGCAATTTCAGTTATTCCATAAGGCCCTCTGATATATTCCCTGGGAGTCTGCTGTACTCTCTGTCAAACTGAGTGCAATGACAGCTATCCGTTCCTCGTCATCAGCATCTTAACACCAAACTGACTGACTGCTAGCATAAGCAGGTTATCCCTCCGTCTGGCATAAGCAAAGGCACTAAATTTGATAAATATATGGTGTCAAAATGTCATATGGGAAGGCAGTCTTGCTTTTGAATCACAGTTTACCAAAAGTAAGAGAGAAAAGTATGCAGGCTTTGTGAGTGATTTCTGGAAACGGCAATTGGGATTTGCGTGTATCTGGGGAACCCAGAAAACAGCAGGTTTCTATCCTTCTGTTGTTTATTCTATGCTATACACTTCCACTAAATAGTGAGCAATGTATTCCTAGACTGTTGTATCTGAGTGCCTCACGGAGTTGACGCTAAAGTAAACAAGGAGCAAGGCGCATCTCAAGTGTTGGTGCTTTGGTGATCAGGGTTAATCTGCAGTCAGAGTTTTCCATCTCGGGGCATACCTAGGATGGAGAGGAGGTTGTGGAGATGCACGCTGATGGTGACGAGACACGCGGCCGCTCTCCGTGCGGGGTTCGGCCTCGCCACAGGCTCCCGCCTCTCCCGCCAGGCAATCGGGCCCTCCGCAGCAGCTCCTGGGAACCCCCGCGGGCTTCCAAAGCTCCGACATTAGCTTGCAGTCTGTACATTTCCCATCTTCTAGCGTTCTTGAATGTTTGTGGCAAAGACTTTCTATAGGGTAATTAGCTTAGAAAATCTCCTCAGAGAGATCTGAGGTCTCCTCAGACCTACTTGTCTTCCTCCACTTTAGAATCCACATCACAGCTATTGAAACCTAAGGCAAAGCTGTCATGTCACAACAGAGATACAGAACAGTTTTACCGTGGCATAAAATTTGCCTTTCCTGAGCTGTGTTAAGAGATTTTTACTAGCTCTGGGATGGAAGTGGTTATTTCTTTGTCGTTTTTCTTCCCCAATGTTGGTAACCTGTGGAATTGGTTAATGCTTGTCAGCTGGACTTGTTTGTATTTGGAAAAGGATAAGGAAAGGGGGAATTCAATTACAATGCGGACAACCTACAGAAATAAATAATTTCAACTATTTGTTGCACTAGCAGACAAAAGGAGGGGGAAACTGTTATCTAAACCCTGGGTCTACTTAGTAGATAGAGAAATAAATTGAAAAAAGCTACCAGATTCATCAGAGTAAACAACATTCTCATTTCCCCCTGGAACGTATAATGGCACTCAACAAAATCTGAGTATCTCCCTGGATTAATTGTTATGACTTTAAACTGACCTTTCCTGCTTCTTTTCTTGTGAAGAACTTATAATATACTTTTTTCACCCGTTTTGTGGAGAAGATCATTCATTGTTCAAACTCAAGTCGTCAAGGGAATATCTCCTTTCATATTAATATCAAAAGGATGAAACGATAGGAGTATTTCCAATAGCCAGAAAAAACTTTTAAACCACAAACCTCCAACTCAGCAGCACATGAGCATTCGTGTTTTATAATGCAGTGTCCTGTAAGCCTCCTTTATTTCTTACCCTGAGATCCTGGCATTGAGTTGTTTAGACAGAGTTGTCCCACTCCATAATGAGTTCCATCTGCTGACTTGGCACCATCATTCAAGAGGTGTCACTTGGTTCATATCTAGGAATTTCTTATGCCAAGATGCCTTGCAGGAGATCAGGGTATCCATTCCATCTCTTGGCAATATACATTTTTTTTATTTTAGTAAAACAGATTTGTGATGATTTACATAAATGGAAAGAAAGTACAACTTTTAAGGATCCAAAATCTACTGTGTGAGATTTCTTCTTTTACAGAAGAAGCAAAATATTATGCAATAAACATTGTTTTTCAGTAAGAAATGAGAAACAAATTGTACAGTTTCTTTCAGATGTGCTGAGCACAAGTTTAACTGTAAGCTGTGTTTTGCAATCCTGAAAGCTTTGGAAAACAGCTGTCTTCCTCGGAATCAGTCGCTGTAGATTAATTCTCAACAATTCTGTGCTGAGAAAATTGTATTTACACATGCACGTTATGTAGCCATATATTCTTAAAGTAATGGTAAGTGATTAAAACAACATCCTTATCACAATATTCATGTAGTGGTATATTGCTTCAGAAATTCTTGTACTATTTTCACCCCAAAACATGTCCAAAAGGTAAAAGACATTTGAAAATGAAATGCTATTTTTGTATGATTTGCTTTCTGCTTGCACTGATCTTTTACAGTTGAATGTTGAACTCATTATTTTGTTTTTAAAATATCACTTTTTATATATATATATGTAGGTAGATAGATAGATAGTTTCTGACTTAATTACAACAAACATGCCCTCTGGTAATGCATAGAATTAACCATAATGAAATAGTTGTTGTGGGCTTATTTTGTAAAAAAGGAAGAAGAAATGTTTTCTCTTTCCTGTCAGCCAATACAGCATGTGTCAAAGGAAGACCTGCTCAGCTTTTGTGAAAGCTGAGAAGAAACACTATTCACAGATGTTTTTCCATTACCTCTAACATTTCTTCATAAATAAAGAGGCATTTTCATTTTTTTGAGATGGCTATTGAGATTTATTGGTCACAGAGAAGAATGGGACTTCATAGGGAAAGGGATGGTTATTTATACCACATGAGCGCCCACCAGAAAATGAAAACCATGCAGTACAAGGGCTATGACACTCGTTTTGAGAGGCAAAGTCTATTCTTAAGCACAATATGATCTCTAAGTACTTCTACAGATTAGTTATAACTGAGAAAAGAACTTCACAGTCACTTTTGCCTCTTTTGCATCTAAGAAATAATGAGAAATCTCATTGCTATAAAAAAAGGGATTTTTAACAGCAAAAGTACACAAGATAAATTCATCCAGATTCAGGAGGTTTGTAAAAAGTAGCATCAAGTTGCACAACAAGCTTGAAGTGGTATTAGCATGTGAGTAGTAAAAAACAGTAGGGTATCAAAACCTGTAGGATAAAGAAGCCTTCTCCTCTTAGTCTTTATAATAAAGTCCCGTTGAACAGTTTGGGTGGGAGAAGACCACATTTCTGTTGTCCCCAGTGTACAAGCTACATCAGATGACTTCCTATCTCTTACATGACATGTTCCCTCGTGCCTAGATTTGATCCTGCAGGTGCTTTGTATTTTCACTTGCTCTGAAATAAAGCACACTCTCAGTTGCGGCAAAACCTAAACTAAAATGCAGCAAGCGGAAACTTGGACGGACGTGGCCGTTATCATGTTGGATTTCTCTCTGCTACAGTGGGGTTTGTAGCAAAGGGAAATACAACTTACACCTCCACATACGAGAAGCAGTGAACTCGATTCTACGTTTGCATGTTATGAACGGTTTGTTTTTTACAGTCACCAAAGGCCTTGTGAATATATATTATTTTATAGAGTTTGGGGTTTTTTTTTGGTTCAGGCTGTAATAAGAGAGTCTGCTAGAAATCTTTACAATGTTATCCTGTGGATCTGAGGTCAGCGCAGAGCCCACTTGTTGATTTAATGTCCCAGCACAATCAGTGGAAATGGCTGCTCAAAGTAAACAGGCTACTTGGCAATAAGCAGTGGTGTCTCCTCGGGTTAGACAAGCTGTAGGTGCTCTGGTGCAGTGAGGAAGGTCCGTGTCAGCTCCCGTCGGTGCAGACGTGGTCAGGATGGACAGTGGCTGCTCCTGCCCGTGCCTGACCCGTGCGTCTCAAGGTGCGGAAAGAGCAATGCTCCCCCTTGGCAAAAAAAAGGCCACTATTCATTGCAATCAAGTCAGTGTCTAGGAAAAGTCTCTGACTTGCTGCTCTGTCC